GGGAATGAGAGACAGAGAGCACGAGAGGGAAGAGGGCAGAGGGAGAAGCAGACCCCCTGCTGAGCAGGGAGCCTGATGCGGGACTCGATCCCGGGACTCCAGGATCATGACCTGAGCCGAAGGCAGTCGCCTAACCAACTGAGCCACCCAGGCGCCCCAATTCAGTGGTTTTTAATATATTCAGATTTATGTAACCATCACCACTAATTCCAGAACATTTTCAACACCCTGAGAAGAAAGCCCGTACTGATTGGCAGTCACTTCCCATTTCCCCTTTCCCCTGAGTTCCTAGCAGTTACTAATCTATTTTGTCTTCATATAAATTTGCCTGTTCTGGATGTCTCATATAAATGGAATCCTACAATATGTGACCTTTTGTGTCTGTACTTCTTTTACTTAGCATAATATTTTCAAGGTTCCTGTTGTAGCATAGATGAATAATATTCCAGTGTATAATTACACCACATTTTATTTATTCATCAGTTGATGGACATTTGGGTTGTTCCTACTTTTTGGAAGTTATGATTAATGCTGCTTTGAACATTCATGTACAAGCTTTTGTGTGGACTTAGGATTTTTATTATTTTGAGTATATACCTAGGAGTGGAATTTCTGGGTAATATGGTAACTCTGTATTTAACTTGTTGAAAAACTGCCGAAGTACTTTCCAAAGTGGAAATCCCACCAGTAGTGTGTGAGTATTCCAATTCTCCACATCTTTGCCAACACCTGTTATTGTCTTTCTTATTTTAGCCATCCTAGGGGGTGTGCAGTGGCATCTCCTGTGCTCTACCATGCCCTTTTAAACCCCAGAAATCAGCATATCTGTTCTTCCAAGATAGGAATACCTCAAGTGTTCTCTTCCTCTCTACCTCTCTGCTAATTTAATTAGCTTGTAAACCAAGTTTCCATTACAAGACTACTTAATATACCTTAAATAAGATTTTATGGTTATCTCTAGTCACTCTCCTTGTAATAGACCTCCAATACATTTTTAAAAACATCTATAGAACAATGCAGTCTTCTTAGTTCCCTCCCTTTTATCTATACAGGTTATCAGCTCTTTGACTTACTGCACAAAAGGTCTGTATTGTAACCATGTATTCAATTTAAGGAACAAGTTTTATTTTAAAGGGGTATGTACAATTTGGATAGAATGAAATTGAAATCCTAGGCAGACATTGCAGGTGTGGAGAAACAAGTACTCTCAAAAGCTTTTTGGGGAATTATAAACTGGTAGAAACTTGGAGAGAAGGGCAGATAACTATTTGATAATATGTATCAAAAGCCTTAAAAATGTTCATAAACTTTGTTCCAACAATTCCACTTATTGGACATTTTAAAGGAGGGAAAAATATCCAACAGTGGAGAAGTAAATATCATATATCCATAAATTGCAATGTTGTACAACCACTGAAAATTGAGTAGACTTACCTTAATTACAATATGATCTATTTTTAAGTGAACACAACAGACTACAAAGTAGGGCATATATTCTGTGATCTCATTTTTTTTAAACGAAAGTTATACATGTATACTTAGGCAAACAAAAAAGTCTAGAAAGCTAGCATGTCAAAATGCAGATTTTTAAAAAAATAAATGCATTCCTGATTTTTATAATCAGAGAAAATAAAACTATATTTTGAAGAAAATATATGCTCTCCAAAAGGAACCTCCCTGTTTAATGTATGTAAGAATGTTCTATATTTATGAGTAACTTCCCTTTTCTATTGATATATTTATTTGGGATTCTCGGCCTGTCTTTGGAATCAGGGGTTCTGAAATGCCAGTCACATCATAATCTTCTGTGGTACTTTATAAAAATACTGATTTCTGGGCCCTACCCCTAGAGATTCTGGTTCACTGGTGGGAAAAGGAGATTCTAAGAATCTGTATGTTTAAAAGGCTTTCCTCGTACTTCTGATGTGCAGCCCGGGTTGCAAAACTACAAAGTGATGTTGCATAGTGCGACTGAAATGGATTTCATTGAAAGCATCTGTCCTATCATTGCCAACTCATGTGATATGTCCATCAGCCTAGCCTACTGCCTTTTCTCTAAGAATTCCCATCACTCAGAGTTCTGCCAAGGGTGGGCCCAGCCTCCAGGCTCACGTTACCTGCATGATCCTGCCTCTCCTTGCCACAGCTGACCAGTCCAAAAGTGGAGTCCTGGACCAAGTTAGGCCAGTAAGATTTTTCTCTCCTAGGACTTTGGAACTGGGACTAAGACGGGAAGTCAATCAGGAGCCAGCACTAACTAAGGATATTTGAGGGCTGAGGAAGCCATTTTCCACCAAGTGTTCACTGATGAAGAGCCTACCTTAAAAGGGGGAAAGAAAGAAACAGATGTGCAGAGAGAAGTGTAAATAAGACACCCAGAGAGGAAGGGTAGTTTTGGTTCTCAACTTCCAGTGCCTTGTACCCATCTCTCATGAGATTCGGTTTTACCTCTTGCTCTTGGAGACTGTAAGTTACTCCTTCTAGTAAATTGCCTTATTTGAATGTTTATCATCAATCAAAGAACCCGAAACTAAGATAACAAACCAATACTCCATAGCATGTAAAGAAGTAGTCTTCAATCCTGTATTCCTATAGCCCAATTCTAAATAATCCACTTTCTATGTGACTTTCTAGTCATGGCCAGCTCTATTTCCATTTGCTGAAACAAAATTTAGGTCTCTCCAATAAAAAAAAATCATTTTTAAAATCATATGGAGGAAGAATACCATGGCTATTTCCTCTATTTCTGCAGAGGCACAAACTAGCTTATATTTCTGGATTTGGTATCTCCCAATCCATAGTCACATATCCCACTCCTTTCTCCTCACTGGTGGGATAGAATATTAATAGTAAAATAGTAATAAAAAATAACAGTAATAAAATAGAAAATGTACAGTGTTAAAAGATTTCTATATTTGTTCCTCTTAACCCCTGTGGAATAGACAATGGCAGTGTTATTAGTCCATTTCTTATTTGAGAAAACTAAACCCAAATGAATTAAATTCATTCATTTATCAAATATTGTCTATTATGTGCCAGGAACATACTTCTCTACACTCAAGAGCTTATATTCTAGCAGGGAAGGCAGACAAGCAATTACCTAAGGCAATGTGTGGTGTAAGAGAAGAACTAGGAAAGGATTTCCCAAGTGGAGAAGGCCTGTCTCTAATGGCTTTGGCTATCCCCAACAGTTACCACAGTTCATGGTAAGAATCTTAAAAGCTGAAGTACCAGATGAAAGTTACTGGAAAGCACTTTTATTACTTTTGTATCCTCCAGCCTACTTCAAACCCAAAGAGCTGACAACTCAACCCATGTTCAGTGTTCCCATCGTTCACCTCAAAGAAGTCCCTTCATCTGTTTCCTAACTTACTGTAGTACAACATCACCAGATTTGCAAGTATCCCTCTTCTTCTTTTACCACCATCCCCACCAACTTTGAAGTAGTAAGTGATGTCAGCTCTCCCCACTTTATGCTCCCCATGCCCACTGCTGGAGCCTCCTTTCCAGTCATCATTTCTTACTTGGGCCTTTGCACTAGGCTAAACAACCTCCCAGCTTCTACCCTTCTTAACTGATTTCAGACACACAAATCTCATCATTGTGCCATTCTAGTACTTTAAAAGTCATGGTTCTCTATCTTTGAGGATGATAAAGTTCAAGCTCTTTGGTGTGGCACAGAAATCCTCTTGCAAGGTGGCCCCCCACCAAACACCTCTCCTGTCATGTTCTGCATGCAGCCTCTTCTCATAGGACATCTCATGGCTTTGCTTATTGCATCTTCTCTTCCTCATATGATCCTTCTTCCCATTTCTAGGTGAACGACTTATTTTTTGTCCTTCAAAGCACAATTCAAATGTCTACTCTCTTTTTAAAGCCTTGCCTGAATCCCTGGGCACCCCCTCCTCTAGCATTAATCATATTGCATTGTAATCATTTGCTCACATATCTGTCTCTCCCATAAGGCTGTGAATTCATTTAGGGAAGGAACAATGTCTTCCTCCACATCTAGGGAATGCCTGGCACGTAAAGTAGGCAATGTTAATGAACGAGGAAATGAATAAGTAGGCCCAGCAGTGTTCTCAAGAAGAGGAAGACACTTTGTCACTGACCTCCAGTCAAGTGCTGTGCAGCTCCCCACCCCCACACCTGCTCAGCCCTGCCTGTGCCTATACAAAACATGCCCTCTGAGGAAAATACAAGTAGGAAAGAGGGAGGAGACAATGAGTTATAATTTTTTTTATTTTTTTTTAAATTTTATTTATTAATTTGACAGAGAGAGACACAGCGGAAGAGGAAACACAAGCAGGGGGAGTGGGAGAGGGAGAAGCAGGCTTCCCGCGGAGCAGGGAGCCCGATGCGGGGCTCGATCCCAGGACCCCGGGACCATGACCTGAGCCGAAGGCAGACGCTTAACGACTGAGCCACCAGGCGCCCCTCTGAGTTCTAATTTTAAGGGTGGATCTGCATTCACCTTTGGAATAGTTCCAATTGTCAGGGATTAAATACAACTTTTTTTTTTTTAATACAACTATTTTTAAATGCAATACTCTCACGAATGCTCTTGCCGAACAAGAGTTGGGCTGGGACCTTTGGGGAAACCTCCAGACGACTAGGGGGTAAATCATTTTATCGCAGTGACAAAATTTTCGCATTTAAACAGCAGAAATTTGCCGAAAGTGTGGATTCTGTAAATACAAGTACGCGCAAGTTGCACCAACCTATTTCTGAGGCGCGCCTGGGATATAATGCTCAACACTGACAAACACACCTTATGGAATCTACCAGCAGCTACGGGAGCGAGGCATATTTCCCGCCTCCCTGTGAAGACTGGTGGGGCCCCTGTCCCCTAGCGGGACGTGGATGTGCACCCCCAGATGTCGAGCCCCGCCTCCCGGCGTCTGCCCGGGCCTGGGCGGGCGGGGTCCGCCACGTGGAGCGCAGACCAGATTCTCCAAGGCGCCTACGCTGTTGCCGCGACGTAGCTCCGGCTCGGCCCTTTGCCCCACGTCAGCAGCGGAGGCTCCGCGGCCTGCGTTTACTCCAACGCCGCTGACGTAACGTCATCTTGCGGGACGTGGACGGAAGAAAAAGGAGAGTAAGCCGGCGCCGGAGTCTGCCCGGCGTGGAGTGCGGACCAGGCGGCGGGGCCGGGCAGTGAGGTCTGGCGGCGGCGTGAAGCAGGTACGCGGCGGGGATGGCGCGGCGCCGGCGCCTCCGCGGGGGCTGAT